TCTTAAAAACAAAAAACAACCCCAAACATTTAGAATGAGGGCTTACAAAATTTAAGCAAGTAAAGCAATTGGAAAAACAAAAACAGAAATCATGAATAAACAAAAAAAAAAAAAATAGATTCTACCTGCACGTTAGGGTAAATAGAAGTGGCCAGGACTGATTCGCAGACTCTTCTCATGGACCAACCTCCATATCCTGAAGGATGAGAGAGAAGAGGGCAGAGCCAGGCGATGGTGAAGCTGGGTGTGGAAAGCCCCCAGACAGCTGCCAGGTTAACATCACACACGTCAGGCCATGACTTCAGAGAGAAACTTTATCGTGCCGAGACCCTAAAATGTGGCATCTTTTTTTAAAGAGCGGTTTACTCGGATTCAATATAAAAGTTAATAAAAAAAACTATCTAAGCAGTAAAATCATGGCTGACTACTAAATTAACTTTTATTCATTTAATAAAAGATGGACATTTGGTGACAAAAAGATACTCTGTAGTCCTGGAACCCACTGCTTTCCTCATGAGTGTGTTCCTGAAACCTGAGTTGGGACTCAGGACCATACCCAGCTTTGCAAGCGACCATGTCTTGCAAATGTATTTCCTAATCCAAACAATCTAAATTAATCCATAAAAGCAAATCTTTATCAGTATTATATGCCAAGATAGAGTGAACACAAATGGTTACAAAGTTGAAAATATCATTAGCTGGCTACTTCGGAATCCATCTCTGAAGAGTCCTCTGAAAACAGCTTGAACTTTTTAAAAGATACTTGGAATACCCTGATGAAGCTTGTCATTGGTATCTTCTCAAACCAGATGGCAGCATCAGTTAATGGATTAAACACATACACACACAGTCTCTCCTTCTGCCATTTTTTAACTATGACTCAATGAAGGAGGTCAATGTGTGCTTTGAACAGCATGAAAACAAGTTTGTTCAACAAAAGTCTAATGAGATTTTGGCCAGGAATTAATTCTAAGTCTTCAACTCCATAAGAGAAGGCAGAAGTCCAGCAGCGACTGCATCAATGGGGCTTTTTAGTGCTGTGCTTCTGGTAAGTTCACACTCGGTGCCCACCTCTGAGCCTCTGGTGCGCCCTAGTGCAATGAGGTTGAACAAGAGCTGTGACCAAAAGTTGCCTGGGGCTTCGTGTTCTACAGAGCTGGGTGCACAAAGAAGGTGGGAAAACCAGGACTAATCAGCCTACAGCGACTAAGTTAATACATATGGTCCAACTATGTGTTTATTAGTTCATGTCGTCTACAGACCTAGGAGTCTCTAATGGTTAATAAAAGACATTGCTATTCTAGGTAAGTTAGAAAGAAGATTCAAACCAATAAATACTAAGGTTAAAACAACCCAAGTGCCCTTCCATACATGAACGAACTAAAAAATCAGAATCTTCTTAATGATTGCAATTTCATCTTTAAGACTCGGTAGTCAGGTTATCAGTACTGACAGATTACAAACAATTAATGACTAATTTCTCTTTAAGGAGTTTGCTTTGTTTAGACAAACAAATATCCTGGTTTAGTAGTAGTTATATGTCAGTGGGGGAAAAAGGTGAGTTGACCCACATAACATGATTCATGCAAATGTTAAGGAAAATACAGAAAAATTACCAAGAGTGATGGAATGACCCAAGTTTGGGATGCATTATTCTAAGTGACTGTAAATTATCAAATCATCTCTCAGATAAAAGCAGTGGAACAAATATTAAAATACTTAAATCAGGGCAGTGCCTGTGGCTCAACTGAGTCGGGTGCCAGCCCATATGCTGGAGGTGGTGGGTTCAATCCCAGCCCTGGCCAAAAATAAATAAATAAATGAAAGCTGGTTATTTAAAAAAAAATACTTAAATGATTCTAGAAATTAGAAAAGAAAACTGGTATTAACATTTCTTGTAAATTTTGGATTACTATCGTATATTATTTCTTTCTTTGCTGATCAATTTAAATCCTCAATCAGATGTTTTCAGTTAATTTTTTTTACTTCCTTATTTTTCCCTCACCCAACTTCCCAGGAGTCCTCAAACTTTTTAAACAGGGGGCCAATTCACTGTCCCTCAGACTGTTGGTCCGGGCCCCGGGAGGAGTCCATTGCTAAGCAGGGCAGGCAGCGGGGGCAAAACCACCCGGCGGGCAGGATAAATGTCCTAGGTGGGCTGCATGTGGCCCACAGGCCCTACTTTGAGGACACCTGGTTTAGACATTCTGAACTCAGTGCCTAAAATGGGTATGTCTATTATAACATAGTTTCTCCATAATGAGCACAATTTAAATATCCTAATAAGCATCTATACCTAAGTTGCCTTCTGTATATATATATTATGTACATGAATGAGTTATATGTACATCCAAAATATCCTGAGATTTAGAAATCAGGTGCCAACTATTAATGGCATGAAATATTAATATACATTAATATTGCTATATTAATCTAGTCACAAAAATACCCACAAACATAACTTCTAATCCTTATTTAAAAAAATAGATTAATAAGGTTAGAGCCTGCCATTCACTTTGCCTCTGGCCTTGGTACCACTCTCTGCTGCCCCGCAGAGAAGTTAGAGAGGGCTGGAACTGAACCCTCTTCCCACCAAGAGGTCTACTGTGTGCCGATTAAAGTCCTGCACAAGGCTGAAGGCCACATCGTAACAAGTGAGACAAACCCCGGGGAGATATATCGGGGCAGCTCATTGAAGCTGAAGGCAAAATGAACGGCCAGATGTCCAATGTCATGGTCACGTACACAGACGGCCGTGTGGCCCAGCTGGAGCAAGTACACATCATGGCAGCAAGATTCACTTTCTGATTTTGCCCTACATGCTGAAAAATGCACCCATATTACAGACCATGAAAAATAACAATCAAGGCTCAGTGGCTGGCCGGGGGAAGGCTGCTATTCTGAAGGCCTGTGTGGCTGCGAGAGGAAGAGGATGTGGACTGGACATGGAAACATCTTCCAGAAGCAAAGATGATTTTCTGGGTTGAACAGAACTTTGCCCTTTTTTCTTTTGGGTTACCTGGGTTCACAGGAGTGAATGTTTGTATGTGTGTCCTGGGTTTTCACGTCTTTTTCTTCACATCAGGGGAAATGTTAAACTAAAGACATCTGGTTCTTTAAAAAGAAAAAAAAGTAGGTTATAATATATCAAGTTATATGTAAGTGTATATAGAATGTGTACATTAAAAATTAACTTTCATGGAGTAAGAATAAATTATGTATACTTTTTTAGGTAGACTACAACCAATTATACCTCATTACGAGACTAACAAATCACTAGGGTGAGAATAAAGAATAAATTAATACCACAGAAATGTGGAGCCACGCACGGCAGCACCAAGCCCAGGGGTGGCCTCAGTGTCGGGAAACAGGGTCCTGGTCCTGGACGCAGCAGAACTTGCCAGCACGTCCACCAAGTCACACAGTCTTTGGATCTCGGTTGAAAAAAATTTTAAATGAAAGTACTGATCTCTAACAAAACGGAAACATCTGCTAATAGTTTACAATTCTGTGAAAAATAGAGAAATCTTGGCTGGCAATAAGCCATAAAAAATGAACAACAAAGATGAGGGGATGCGATGTGTTATCCACTTCCCAGAGATGAACATCAAATGTTAATTCAATCAAATCACAAGAAAGTGAGAAGTCATGGCCACTGCTCCTGTGCTTTGAGTCACAGCTGCCCCCACCCCCTGCGTTTGAGGTGGGGTCTTCATTTTCTACTGATTCCTTTTCTAACCCTTTCCCACTCTGGCTCCCACTCTTCTATGACCTAAAAGAAGTCGTATCTGAATTAAGAAATGTGGAATAATTCCAGGAAGAGAAATTTCTCGCTTCCTATGGACAAGAAGAGCAAAAAAGTTCTCTCCTTAGGTAAAGCTGACCAACAGATCCAGCCATTAAACACTAGAATAATATGTTGCAAAGTAACAGCAAAATAAAAAGAGTACTGCATACAAAGTATTCATTCCATGACTTATTAGTTTCTCTTTGTTATATCCAAACACCATCCTGTACATAATACACTGATTTACCAGGAGCCCCTGGGCATGGAGGTCTATTAATTGTATAAATGTCAAATCTATCTGTTGGGTGCCTTATTTCCTCTACCAGAACGAATGTCTCTAAAACTAACACCTAAAAAAAGGCTTCACTAGAACGATCAGTTTTATTATTGGAAAGCAAAATAATTTATTTCAAATGCAGTAACACAAGGAAAAGCGAGTATTTACATAGCGATGGTTAATCTATCAGAATTTTAGATTTAATAAGCTGAGCTGCTTGACTCTCTTGCGTTTCTTGAATATGCACTTTTGACACTAAAAAGAGATCTAACCTGTGTTATGTTTTGAGAGGGAAGTAGAACCCCTCCTGAGAACCAGGACTGGACACAGGTAGGAGGGATTTCAGTGCTATAAAGACCCAGGGTAACTTTTGGAGCTGAGCTGTTTTTGGAACTTTGGAATGGAATTCTGACAATTTTAATTTCATTTCCGGATGGAATTTAAAAATCAGGACTTTAGAAGGAAGCTAATGAACTCAGGAATCCAGGGAGAGTGAGTTTGAACTCCACAGGGTGGCTCTTCATTTACGCTCAAGAATAACGTATGTGCAAGAGTCACCTCCCCAACCAAAAGGAGTAAGAAAACATAACCCAAATAGAAACCAGTGAAAAGCCACCGGAGTGTAAAGTAGTTATTAACAGGGTCAGAATGATGTGGTTCAGGTCTCTGAGTCAGAAAAAATGTTCCAGGCATTTCTGTGTTCAAAAGACACATTCTGGGAGATCTCTTTCAAAACTTAGAGCATTTAAAACTATATGTACAAACTACAGAAGCCCCCAAATCACTTTGAGTTATATGCCATCAGGAGTACAGTTAACCACAGATATAAACAACTGATGTAAATATAATTTTCCTTAAGATATCTGAATGCACAAACGTCATTAAAATTAAATGCTTATGCTGCAAAATACAAAAATAAGAGATTGGCAACAGGAGAAACACTTATTTATTATATTAAATAGAAGCCTGAAATACAAAGTGGATGTTCCAGAGTCAAAGAAATTACATTGCAGATTCTTAGAGTGGATTGTTGGTGCTGACAAGTAAAACAATGTTTTAAAAAGGGGTTTTTTTTCTTTAATTCCTAAAAAAAAAAAAAAAGGCAACCATTTGGGGATATAAAATAAGTAAAATCCAAAACTTCTAAGTTGATTTCAAACTCTTTCGAATCCCTACGGTGGCTGTAAACAGTCTGTTTTCCAACGTTCATAGCTTAAAGGAATGTGGTGGTCAGGGTTTCTACGAATTTCTGCCCAGGGCGCCCTGCAACGTTACACAGTAGTTTCGTGTTTCCATAGTCCAGTCCTAACGTTGCCAGTGCTATCGGTACCGAGCAAGGGTCCATCCTGGCCGTTGCTTTTAATTGGTCCATTCTGAACGGCCAAATTGAGGCCGTAAGACTTCTGCTGACTTTCAACTTCAACCACAGTTGACTTCCTTAAAGCGTCCTTTTTACTACTAGTTGAAACGGGCTTTTCAAAGTTTCTACTGCTTTTGGGAAGCGTGCTGCCAGCAGCATCACTGCTGTCCTGCAGGGGTGGGTTGTACTGCCTTTCTCTGTAGGCTAAATAGGCTCTTCGGCTCCTCGAGTGCCCTTCACCGCTGCCCAGCCGGCTCTTGGGTAAGCCGTTCTGCACGCTTCCCTCCACGCTCGTGGGGACATCGTAGGCGTATTCTCTCAGGACGGTGAGTCTGCTGGCTCTGTGGCCTTTACCCCTGTTTTTATGATGGCGGCTGGAGTGCACATTTGTCCGAAACTGAACTTCTAAAGGCGCCACGTGCATTTTAATATCATTGTCCATTGAATGTTCTGTCAAACTGTTGTCCAGCTGAGGGGCAGAGTTCAAAGGCAAGGAGTTGGTGTGGCCCTGAGCTGCAGCAGCTTGCAAGTTTGTTAATTTGCAGCCCTGGGAGGAATTTTTGAAGCTCGAAGCACTTTTGTTCGTGCAGGAAGACTCTGCACTGCTATTTGGGCACTTGGGAGCCTCTCCGTTCGTCCCGCTTGAGTTGGGGGGCTGGACGTTAACCTGCACGGAGTACGAGCTCCGTCCTGGGCAGCAGGTCCTGACCCAGGCCAGTCGGACGTCCTCCCTGTTAATGCAGTGGTGAACCAGGACGAACGCACTGAAGCTCAGACACGTGGCCCCAAAAAAGAAGCTGAAAACCAAGTCCAAAGGGTAATACAAGGAAACCGCCAAGGCTCCAAACATCCACAGAGAGACGTAGAGGAGCAAAGTCAGGCCAGCCCCCAGCAGCTGCGAATGAAAGGTGTGCTCGTTTTCCAATGCTGATGTGGAAATCAGAGACAGAGACATGGAATCCTGGTGGTTTATTTCGCCCTGCTCGTTGGCCGCCAATCTCTGTTGCTCCTCAGTGGGCTCCTTAAGCTCATATTTGCGCTCCGGGTGTCTTTTCAACTGAATAAATATGCTCAGAAAGTACATACAGTTCACAAAAGTGATGAAGCTGGCAGGCCCGTAGAAGGCTCCCAAGGAGGGTTCCCACGCCATCCAGCAGCTAGAAAGGAAGCGGGTAGACCAGATCAGCTGCTACCTTCCCCAAGAAATGATGCAAGAATTTGTAATAGACCACAGTATCTTGAAAGACAAGCAACGGGGTCAGGTACACAGAGAACTCAGGTTACTCACTAGGGCGCATTCGGCCGACTGCCGTAATTCTTAATGTTGGCTGCTGCAGTTATTCCACAAACGATGATGGGAATGCCACCCCCGATCAGGTAAAACCTGGAAGGAGAGAGAGCAGGAATAACAGCTCAGCATTCCAGGTTTTTGTCACAGCATTTCAAGAGTCATTCCTGGAAGGATATTTACTATTCTTATTCCAATCAGAGGGTGAGAGTTAACTCGACTTCATTAGAGGCTGCTTCATTAGCAATAACATGGTTTTGTTTTGATTTTTGGACAACTCTTTTTAAACCATAAAGTGTAATATTAGTAGTTTCCAAGCTGAGGAAAGCTGGTCAGCTTCTGCCACCTTGTGGGCAGGCAGAGTAACCACCACTCAGCTCTTGGAGGTAGGATTTCAGCTGAGAGGTGGGGAGTGAGAGAGAGGGATCTGTCCTTATAGTAGCTTTGAGACATTAAAAGATCAAGAAGCATAAAATCCAAATGGACAGGAATAAATAAAACCCTGCCAGCAACACTGATAAGCCCAGCAAATTGATACCTATATGGGCAAATCAGAAAGGACACTGTTGCCTGTGTTTCTTGGAAACAAAAAATAACAAACCTTAACACAGTCTATCTCAAAGCTTCTGTACTAACCTACATACACGTGTGTGTGTATATATGTATATATTCTGTATATATATTATTACTATATATACTATATTACATATATATGTAATTACATATATATGTATATAATTACATATATA